TTTGGCTCACTTCTGTAGGTTCTATAACTCAGTACATAGAAAAATATAATCCAGTAAATTTCTTTCATATAGGGTCTAACTGGTATTCTGCGGAATAATTATCTATCCATGATATACCCACACCCTCAAAGTACACATATTTCTAAATTCTAATCAAGGGCTACTTGCAATGTTACAGGTGATGACAAAATGTATACATAAAATGTTGTTTTTCTTGAAATACTAGAATGTGATGCTTAAATAATCTAACAAATCAATAAAATTATAGCCCCCCAGTGGCACAGCGGCATGTCTGCGGACTTACAACGCTAGAATCCGGGTTTTGATACCTGTGGTGGGGAGAGCACAGATAGCCCTTGTGTAGCTTTGTGCATAATTAAAAACAATCAATCAATCAATAAAATTATAAAAGAATTTAAACTATAATCTTTTTTAAATAGAGGAAATAATAAAATCAAAGGAACTGTCATATCGGGAAAAAAAACATTGTATCGAGGTGTAAAATGCTCACTTAGCCATTTTGCTAAAGGTAAAACGTTTATTTACTAACCCCCTGATGTGTGATAAAATGTCCTCAAATTTCGATAGTTTCACCTTTATAAGTTAAAAAAAACACATTTTGGGGTATTTTAAGCTATAAGACGTTGCTACTTAAAGTTAAAAGTGTTGGCATCGTTTAGTTTTAGTTTTCAATTTGCCATTGTTTTCATACTTTACACAAATCTTTTCGCAAATGTTTTTTTTTCAAATTTAATTTTACATTTTTAATTATATGTTAATATTATGCAAGTAGAAACTATCAAACATACATGTGATGACAAAATACAAAAAGTGTTGTTTTTCGTGAAATATTAGAAAAGGATAAACAATTTTTTATATATTGTTATTATAATATTCTTCACTTTTAAAAAATATGTTATTAAAATAATAATTTAGAACACATTTTCTGAAGCAAAATAAATAAGCAAATACTGTCATATAACTGCCATTCAGCTAGGCTTAATCTACTGGACGAATAAACTGTATATCTATCTCAGTATCTGTGTAGCTGTGTACTATTATAATATTTATAATGTAATTTATTTGTTAGCTAAAAGGCACATCACATTAAGATAGGTTAGTCTCAGAATATTTGGGAATGTTACTGAAGGAGAGGCTTTGCAAAATATCTAGATTATAGATTAGATATTGATACGGGTGAGCCAGTCAGTAAGACAAGTAATCTTGCAGTGAAACAGTGAGGCATGAAGAAAATAAAGAGTTGTTTTCTAGTTGGTAGAGTGAAACCTTGTTTACATTTTTGAGTCTGTGTTAGTTATCGTGCATATTGAGTTACTTACAAGTAAGTGGATTTTTATGTTTGAATAGGGCAGATACTGTAGCTGTAAACATAGGATTACAACAAATTACACCTTAATTTCTATTTTTCTTTATAGTACTTAATTTTGCACCTTTATGTCTTTCTTTCCACCCTCCTGTGTTACCTATTTATGGCACTTCATTGTGCTCCAGAGGGGTTTTGTGGAGAGGTTTGTTCTCTTCTTTTCATCACTTTATAGTACTTAATTTTGCACTTTTATGTCTTTCTTTCCACCCTCCTGTGTTACTTATTTATGGCACTTCATTGTGCTCCAGAGGTGTTTTGTGGAGAGGTTTGTTCTCTTCTTTTCATCACATTAGGTTGTACTTTTTCTTTTGCTCTCTCCCTCCTTATTTGGTTCTTCTGCTGTTAGAATGAAATTATTTTAGCTAATGTGTGCTTCCCTTACACTTATCTCTGTCATATTCATGTTATAAGTATAGAAATTGACACTTATCTCTGTCATATTCATCTGGCTCCATTTCTTCACCCATATATTTTCAGGGGTGTTCCTGACTCATTGGAGACCTGGGCTGAGGTGGCCCAGCATCTGTCATCATTGTCTATTATGATTTCTTGTATTTTTCTACCTTGCCATTTTGTTCCTGTTCCTAGACCAGCTGAAGTAGTTGGTTATTTTTGAGGGAATTTTACAATTGCTTCAGTGTTTTTAGTGTTTTAAAATAATTTAAGAAAGAAGTTATAAAGATTTTCTGAGTTTTTAAGTGAACATATACATGAAGAAATGGCATAAATAAAGACGCCCGCGTCATGAAATAAAGCCAAGAGCTAGGAAAATATAGCTAGCTGGTTAAGTGATATTGAGAATCACAAGGGAGTTATGAAAAATGAAGCTACAACAGAGGTGTTGAGAAAAATGTTAGCCATAAGTTTGACAGTGATAAGTTACTGATGCTGAGTTTGTAGTGCAGTAATGGCTACTAAAACGTTTGATAACATTTCAAATCAGAGCTTTGATGCAAGATCTGTTACTCCAGACCAGTGTAATAGTACAAGTGAAAAGGCAACCAGAGTACTCACCATCACAGTAACCAATTACTTGAGAGTTTTGGTTCTTGTTTTTGAATAGCCCGAGCAGTTGCACAAATTGACCAAAAAAGTGTTAGAACTACTTGCGGGTAGTTAGGAATACTACTTGGAAGGTCAAAGGAATACAAAGAAAATATGGTTTAAAAACTCATGTCTGGAGCTAAAAACTAGTTCTCCAGGGCTGATGAAAAGATCCTCAGAAGCTATCTCCAAGGTGTAGTAGTAACAGTCAAAATTAACCCCTCTATGAACATGAAGATCTTCAACCTCTAAAAGAATACTGGTCCAGCTCTGTTATAAGTATAGAAATTACCATCTCTTCTGTTCAATTAATTTAGATTAGTAAAGGATATTAATGTTTATATTAGAAAAATGTACTCTATATATACTGGTCAATGGTGTTAACTAAAAGTAAAGAGAAAAGTTGTGAAAAGTTAATGATTAGTAAACTTTTGACTATTACTGTATGCTATGTGGAAAACTTTAATAAAACTGTTATATTTTGTTCAATGTTAGTCTTGGAACCCGTTTCTTTGTTCTAACTATAAATTACCTTGAGTTAGTGACTTGTGAGCTCCACTTGCCACTGCAATCCTCAAATAAATAAATTTTGTGTAATCGACAGTATAGTCGAAATTCCAACATTTAGCCCTAAGTGTGCTGCCCATTACACTGCTGAATCCACTTATCTCCTTCCATTTCAGGTTTCTGGCCTTTTTCTACTTACCATTTCTCAATGTAAGGGTCATGGCTCATACCATTGGTGACTATCCTGTCTGGTCTGACCCTGTGGGGGACCATCTGTCTCTCTTTGCCTAGCCTATGGTCTCCATTTTCACTTCTTTTCATCTCCTCCCTTTACCATTTTTCCATTTTCTTTCTTCCTCCACCCTCCAGTGGTACAGTAGTATGTCTGCAGACTTACAACACCAGAAAACCAGGTTTTGATACCCATTGTGGGTAGAGCATTGTGCCCATTGTGCAGCTTTGTGCTTAACTACAAATAAACAAACACACTTTCCTCCTCCCTATATTTCCCCTTTATCTTCTGCATCTTAAAAATGTGGTCTCAGATATCTTGGTCAAGAATACCATCAAGAGAGTGTTTACCCTTACACTTAGTTATTACTCTCATCTTTGGTTGTCTTCAAGAAGACTGGGAACTAGTGTTTGGTTATCAACCTGTTATCTCTCCACTAGTTTCTTATCATCTATCAGTTCCCTATGGAGGGTTTCTTTTCTCTCCAGTGGTCCTGTTCACTCAGACTGTAGATGACCAAGGTTGATGTTTTGGATACTCTTGGACATTTTGATTGCTCTGTCCTCCAGACATTTTTTTCATTTCATCTATTGGGATTGGGTCTTCTAATTCTTGGAAATTATTTTGAGCATTGAACCTGCTCCTTATCTCTTTAATTGAGCCATGGGCAATTGACCTGCCTTGTTCATGACTTTGGGTTGAGTTTCCATTATTACAAGGATTATTGGTGCCTCCTCACCTCTTGTCAGGAGGACACTTTCTCTTGCATCTGTATTATTCTGTGGAGGCTACTTGGCTGGGCTGACTTGTCAAGCCTTCCAGGTGTTTTCTCTCATGCCCACCATATATTTGGTACATATAGGCAAGTACTTCAAATCTCATCTCATTCAGGCCCAGTCTTCACCACTTCACCTATGAACAGTAGAATGTCTTGTCACAGAGATCTATGCTTCTCTTTTATACCTCATGCATGAGGTTCTTTTGCTTTTGGAAACTCTGGCTTCCATCCAACCACTCATTTCGTTAGGCTGCACATACATGCACCTTCTCCAGTATAAATTGAAGGAATACTGGCACATTTCTTGGGATAAATTGTCTGATTGTTATGCCTCCCTTCTACTTTTTTTTTTGAGGAATTCTTGGTGGCCTGACCATACCACCTCTGTTGGACTGGGATGTCTCTGAACAACTACAGGACATTGGGCATATGGGCTCTGGAGGAATATTCATTCCAAGTTACTGTCCTTGAACTTCTTGCTGTCCATCAGACATGCTCTTATTTCCTCCCTCTTCTCGTGGATCAGTTTATCATGATTTACTCCAAAAATTCCATGGTCATTTCTTAGACTAGTTGTTTGGGAGTTATCCATTCCAGCACTGTCTGCTTCCATACATTGGACCTGTTTTCTTGGGCTTACTTCTATCAGGTTCATCTCATGGCTTGTCATGTACTGGGCCTCTGAGCTTATTGGTGGATCATCTCTCTCTCTCGGCTCTTCCTATGGAGTTGTCTCTCCATCCTCAGTCTTTTCATTGGGTTTGCTCCCAGTTGCTCACACTTCTCATTGATACCTTCCCCATTCCTCTCAACACCATTTTTCCCCCTCTTCTAGTCCTCAGTTCCTTTTTCTGTGGTTCTAACAGTTGATGCTGCAGCCAAGACAGGTCTCATTTTTTTCTGTATGCATATTCTCCTTTTCATCTTCTTCCTTGTGACATCACTTTGATATGCAACACTTTTAGTCAGGTCCTGTTAGTGGCACCTGTTTGGCCAGCACAACCCTGATTTTCTCTGCTTTGTCAATTGGCATTCAAACCCATTCTTGGTCTATTCTATTGGAACTATATTTTTAGGTAAGGAAAATGTTCAATTCTTCGTGGTATACAGAGCATAAACATTCCATTATAGCTTTGCAATAAGAAACAAGCAGCTCAATAAAATAATAATGTCTTCTGGTGAGACAGCATTAGGTCTAGGGACTTACAATGCTGAACTCTGAGGTTGTATTCCCTTCAATGGACACAGCAGCTAACCCAATGTGGCTTTGCTCTAAAACAAAAAAAATAATCACTTAAAAGAAAACTGTAATATATAAATATCAAATTCAAAATGTATTTTAAGTATTCCTTATAATTGATACATTTGTATTTTTTTTTCAAGAACCTAAAAATTCATTATGTGACAACGGGAGATATAAAAAATCCCCTGATGTTGTTGCTTCATGGATTTCCAGAGTTTTGGTTTTCTTGGCGTTATCAACTGAAAGAATTCTCTAAGGACTACTGGTAAGTCATTGCTTTGGTTTGTATAGAGTTTTTATTTTCTTGGTGTTATCAACTCAAGATATTCTGTAAAGATTACTGGTAATTTTTTTCTTGGAGTAATCAACTGAAACAATTCTCTAAGGACTGCTAGTAATCAGTGGTTTGGTTTATCAAGGTTTAGATTTTCTTGGCATTATCAACAATTGAAATAATTCTCTAAGGACTATTGGTAAGCCATTAATTTGATTTGTATAGTGATTTGGTATTCTTAGTGTCATAAACTGAAATAATTTTCTTATGGTTACTGGTAAGTCACCAGTTTTAATTTGTCCAGAGTTGTTTTTTTTTTTTGGTGTCATCAGCTAAAATAATTCTCTTACAACCACTGTTATCTAGGGTTTTGATTTTCTTGGTCTCATAAACTGAAATAATTCTGTAAGGCCTACTGGAAAAACATTGATCTGTTTTTTCCAGATTTTGGTTTTCTTGGGTTCATCAACTGCAAGAGTTTTCTTAGGACTACTGATAAATCAACAGTTGGTGTATTCAGGATTTTTCTTTTCTTGATGTCATCAACTAAAATAGCTGTAAGGATAACTGATAAGGCATTGGTTTTGTTTTGTTGAGAGTTTTGGTTTTCATGGTGTCATGAACTGAAATATTTCTCTAATGATTACTGTTAGGTTATTGTTGTTTTTTTTTCAGAGATTTGGTTTTGTTAGCATCATCAGTTGAAAGTATTCTGTAGTAGTCATTTGTAAGTCATTAGTTTGGTTTGTCCAGAGTTTTGATTTTCTTGATAATCTCAACTGAAAGATTTGCTAAGGATATGGATGCACGGGTACCTGGACAGATATTCGGCCCCGGACGGGTATTGAGCTACCTGGTAATACTCGGCTCAGGAAAAGTGTCGAAGTTAGGCATCTAAGCCCTAATCTTTGTGGCAACTAATGCAGTACTGAAAGTGACAGTCAGTAATTGGTTTAGTTAACGTGTTCTGAGCAACAAAATCTGACTGCCTTCTGAAAGTCGGGAATTCAGAAAACAATATGGGTTAATAACAGGCATGGCTTGAGAAGTTGGGGCTAGGCATTGAAAGTTGAAAGTAAAACTTGAATGTTCTGTTGGTGGTTATTGGGTTAAATGTAATAAACGTCAATTTTGTTTTCTTGGAAATCTCAACTGAAAGAATTCTGTAAGGATTACTGGTAAGTCATTAATATGTTTTTTTGCAGAGTTTTGTTTCCTTAAAAACTTGAAATAAAAGAATTCAATAAGGACTAGTTGTAATTTCTTGGTTAAATTTTCTTGGTGTCAACAACTGAAGTAATTCTGTAAGGACTACTGTTAAGCCATTGTTTTGGTTATGTAGACAGAGCATCAGTGTTTTAATACATAAATTCTGTTTTACAATGTTTGCTATTTGCCACTTTCCTTCATAGGCAGTTTTGTTTTGTGCACAAATGTTAAAATTAATATTTAATGTTTCTTATGTGACTGCATTATTTGTGCTTAGAAGTGGGTATAAATAAAATTCTTAGTGTGTGTGTATATATATCATAAAAATAAGATTTTTAAAAATGTAAATGTACTTGTAAACACTATAAATGACTGGACACCCACAACAAAGCAGTTTTTATCTTTATTGTTATAAGACAGTACCATAGACATATATAATAAACTATGAGGTTGAAGCAGTATCAGTTTGTAATTGTAACTAATACAGTACTATGGACTTATTTAATTATTAAAGGTTTGGCAATACAGCAGTATGATACAAGTATTGTATTGTGAAACTGTGATACGATTGTATCAATACATCATCTGATATGATACAATTTATATATCTTCACGAACTTTGGCAAGCTTTCATTAAACACAAGTCTTTTGTACAAAAAAAATCTGAATTTCTAATAAAGTATTTTTGCTAAAAATTAATGATTCAATAAAGGAAGATGAGTATTGAGTACTACATGTTGTCTTCATTTTTTTTATCAAAAACATTACATGCAAGGTAACATAACAAATTAACAACAACAAAATAGATAGACAGATATTAATTTGTTTATTTTACTTCTCTTGCCAACTTCTATTTAGTTGATGAAACCTGAGAATTTGAGAAAAACACTGTAAAGAGTGAAGTACTTAAATAAGACAATGTTAGTAATATAGATAATAAATTACAAACAAGACTGTCAAAGTTTATAGCAAACTGTTGGTAAGACGTCTAATAATTATCTATTGTCATTGTAAGTAATACAATATGACATATTTCTGAACAGTTAACTATTCTTCTTCATGAAGAAGAAGAATAGTCAACTATTTGAAAGTGCTCAAGTTTTGGGTCTCATTTGAAAACATTACAACTTTTGTAGGTGATCCTGTGTGCTAACTTCTTAACCAGAATGTAATTCTGAAATCACACTTGAAGCAGTGAAACATTGTCATTTAACTAACACAGTACCATGGACTTCTAAAATCACTTGCAGGCTTGCTGCTATACAGTGTAGAATAAAATATAAGAATACTGAGGTCTTTGTAAGGTCACTGTTTGAATTTAATGTTATGTTGTATTTAGTATGTGGCATCATATAAATAGGTAGTCTTGGATATGAGGAATTCTGATGAATTATATTTTTAATTCATAGGCTTGTGGCTATTGACCTGCCTGGTTATGGAAATTCTGAGAAACCCAAAGGGATTCAAGCATATACATCTGATGAATTGACTTTGTGTTTAAAAGAATTGATTGTAGCTTTAGGTAAAACGTTTTTAGTTCATAACTTGTAAGCTTTTATAACTATAATGCATTGTTTTTTTTATCAAGAACCACAGGTTTATTTTTAATTTAATTTCCATGCACTGCAAGGAACTCAATTGTTATTCAGTCAGTTGAATACAAAAGGCACGAAGCATGAACTAACTTCCAAAAGTATAATAGGTATTTTCATGGTGAGAGCCAGCATCTTAACTTAAATCCCAGTATATTGCCAGGATTAACATGAAACCAGTTCCCTTTTTAAGCTTGTATCTCCTATTAAGAAGTCCACTCTTCATTGGTACAATAGAATATCAAAAATATCAGTGAGTTATCAGTAATGTGATACTTTAATAAACAGAAAAACTAACACACTTGTGAAACCTGTTAAAGATTAATGCATTTCACAGATAGCGATGGTAGAAATTGGGCTGAAACTGTGAAACATGGTTCTATGAGTAAATGTTTTTTTAATTAGGCCTAACCCTCATCCTATGAAAAATAAAAAGTAGGTTTGGTTTAATTAATTACTACAATGAAAAAAAGCAAAAACATGCACGAAGTAAAAAGCTCAGAGACTTTAATTTTTTTAATACCTAATTCTCAGTATGTTCAGTGCTAGGTTAGTTCATTAATTAGAATGTTGATTATACATATATATTGTTGCTATGGTTATCTCATTTCTACAGTGCAGGTTTATACTCTCTTGGTCCAATGAATACAAGGTCTGACTATTGTTTTGTTTTTTTTTGTTTATTTGGTGTCACTTCAGTCTAATGCAACTATGTCTATATGATTGATACACAGTCTCTCTCTTGTTTTCTCACTTTGACTAGATGGTCATAAGTAGGTCACCACATGAATTTGAATTTTCAATGAACCACCAAATTCATCAGTTCAGCTTGGGGATTGGCACAAACTAAACCATTTTTTCTCTGTCAGGTCCTATTCTCCCACAAAAAATAGCAAATTGAAAATATAAATTCAATGTCATACCATGTTTCTTCAAGGGAACTGTGTTTAATCTTCCAAAGGTTCAGCATGACAATTCTATAAAACATACTGTAGTAGGCAGGCTTATTAAGAGCATCAAAGTATGTATTTTTACACTGATGAAGTCATATCACTTTCTTAAAAGGAATTCCACATAGAAAGGGTTCCACAGAAATATGGTTATAGCCATTCAGTGCAGAATAGGGCAGTGGTGTTCTGTAGGTTTAGACGAAATGCTATCCTCCAGTATGCAATACACACCCACAAAGGAGTGAGATGTCAAATTTCAGTTTACCCCTTCGATTGGGAGCCATCATCCTACCCCCAGGTTGATGTCGGTACTCCATGGCTGGGTTTTGGAGTTAGAGTAGAACCAATCAACATAAGTCATCACACATGTTTATGGTTCTTTATGTACCTCCCTTGATCATAATCCTTCTGTGTTATGGGTTACAGTGGAGGTAAGGGGGTTTGTTCTGGTTCTGTCCTTTTTGCTATCACTCATTATATCTTATTCTGAGGATGTTATTGTTTTTTGAATGGTTCTGGTCAGTTTTGCTATTGGGGGAGTTGACTTGTATTATATAGACATCCATTTGATACTGGATGTTGGGTCCCTGGATCCGATAGATCTAAGATAGCATGTGTCTTGCTCAGGAGTCAGAATGGTTCTAGATTCCTCTCGGTCTTTTGAACTTGAGGTGAAGACAGATTATCCTCATCCTACCCACTTGCTTGGATGTCAGTTCCCAGCTGGATGGGTTTTGGATGTAGTTGAATTACCGAGTATGGTCCATCACACCCTAACCACTCCATGCCTAGAGGCACATCCATTGTTTTACCCAATTTTATACTTTGTGGGATGGAGTTGCATATATATTTACATGGTTAGGATCACTATCCTGCCATAATTCTCTCCCACTTGGATGTGCTCCTCTCTTTTTTTTTTTCTTATCTACTACACATTTCACGGGTGGGTGAGGAGTACACCTGGTTCAGAAATGGTGCAGTTCCCCTCATCAGGTCTTTGGATTTGACTCTCTCATTTTCAGGGGTATCCTTCGGATGCTTTTGGGGGGGTACTTCTTTCAATCCCTTGCACTGATCTTGCCACCTAATCAATGTGGGATTCTAGCTAATCTTGTGAGCGAAGGGAAGTACTGTATTGGAAGTTATAATTTTCCTATGCTGAAAATGTATTTCCAATAGGTAATTACCTCTTCTCACACTTCCCGTCCTTCTTCCCCACTTTGCTCTGGTGCTTATGTCTTCTGCCAAACCTTGAAGTAATAATTTGGTAGAGGCATATAGAGGGAGTCACATCTGTCATGTGAGTATGTCATTCTCCTGTTGGTGTAGAAGTGACGCAAGATGATTTACATGAGATACATGTTGGAATCATTTGATTCCAATAGGGAGGAGCAGAAGGCTTGTGGCATGCGTAAATAAACAATTTGCATATAGAGGGCAGCACAGGACAAGAATAGCTAATGTCATGAGATGAGATAAGTAACTATCAGAAAAATGTTTTCAGTATAGGAAAACTATAATGTTCTCATTTTGTTTGAACAGTTTCAGACAGATTAAAAATATAAGTTGAGACTAAAATCTGGGGCTTTTGTCCTTGTGGTGAACAGAGTGGAGATAACCCATTTTTTTAGCTTTTCACTTAAAAAAACAACAACAATATCAACTTCATGACAGCCATTTTTATATAATGAGTTGGCTGTTTATCATTATCTTTCTGATGTGCATTTAATTTTAACTTACGTTTAATCTTGGAAAACAACTATATTTGCAACACATTTTTCAGTTTTTTTCCAATAAGCTGTAACATTTTTATTTGTATTAATGTGACTTATGTAAGTGTTCTTTTTCCTGCTCTAGGCCGGCAGAAGGCCATTGTTGTTGGTCACGATTGGGGTGGTATTTTAGCCTGGTATCTAGCTGGAAATTATCCTGATGTTGTTGATAAACTGGTTGTCATGAATGCTCCTCATCCTGGTCATTTTGAAAAAGTTTTGTTTTCCAGCCTAAAGCAATTCCTCATGTGTTGGTAGTGTGATTTTGTTATTTTTCTTGTTTTCTTGCATATAGAACAGTTTAATGCTTCACATTACTTTTCAACGTAATTAAATGTTAAAAATAAGTTTTTATATTGTTCAGAAAATTTGTGGTTTGCTCTCTTAATGGTCAAGTCCATGGTTTCAGTTGTAACAGTGCAATATTGATATTTAAGAGAATAACATCTTCTAAACTAATTTCATGTCTTGAAATAATGATTAGACATAGCATTACAATTTTAACAACAGGTTTTGCTATATTGTCTTGTAATTTCTAAACGATTGTTAGAATTTGACATTGATTCATCAGATGGAAAGCGAAATTTTATAATAAATATTAAAAACACGGTAATACTGAAAAACATCTGTAATTACAGAATTTTCAGAATTTCTTCAAATTCCATTATTGGCTTTAAAACCACAAAAAATTAATTCACAATATTCTATGTACAAGAAACAATAATACCTATTGAGCAAGTAGTTTTCATATTCAATCAGAAATTTAGAAAGAACAGATTTAAATGGTAACAATGTAATAGAATGTACAATAAAACATGTGGCATACACATATTTAACAAATAACACTGCAAAGAGAAAACATTATAATTATAAAGAAATCCTTAAATGTAAGTATAAACATTGCATCTTTAAAATAATGATAATTATCAAATAAAAAACACCGAGGAATTGATGTTATTGTTTAGTATTGGGTGATCATTGAAAATGGAGAGGCTTTCTTTAATAAAGAGTTTGTAATCTGTGGTTCTGGAGGTGAGTATTTAAAAATTTTTAAGAAGTGTGGGGTGGTTGTTATTCTCACTGTGCAATCAGATACAAGACGAAGGTGGATTAGTTTGCTTATATCTGCTTCTAGCTGAAATTACTGTGTGCTCATGTGCACACATTTGTAGGTTACATATAGTTTTACCAAAATAGGTAGCTTTACAATTTGTATATGATCCATGAGTGCAGTGTATAGGAATGGGTAGAGTGTCTTTGGTTTTAAAGATATTTTTAATTCTAAATGTTGATTGAAATACTAAATGTAGCTCAATTTGTGGGTAATATGTTTTAATTATATTTTGAATTTGGGATTTAAGTTTAAAACTTTGTTTGCCAATAAAAGGGGTGATAAGAACTAGTGGATATTTTGAGACAATGTGTGGATTTTTGGTAGGTTCTGTTTTATTTGTTAAAATTTTTATGGGATGGAGTGTAAAATATCCACATTGGGAAACAAAGTTTTAAACTCAAATTCCAAATTTAAAAATAATTAAAACATATTATCCACAAATTAAACTATGTTTAGTATTTTTGTCAACATTTAGAATTAAAAATAGGTTTAAAACCATAGACACTCTACCCATTCCTATGTGTTTGTGGGTCATATACAAATACACTTGTGGTAACTGTAGAGCTGCCTAAATTAGTAAAACTACATGTAACCTATAAATGTTTGCAGATGAGCACATGAGAATTTCAGCTAGAAGTGGATATAAACTAACTCATTCATCCAAGTCTTGTATTCGATCGTACAGTGAGAAGAACAACCACCCCATAATTCTAGAAAACTTTAAAATTCTTGACTCTGGAATCACAAATTATGAATTCTTTATTAAAGAAAGCCTCTCTGTGATCACCCAACACTAAATAATAACATCAGCTCCTCCCTGTTGTCATTAACTTATCAGTTCCAGATTCTCAGTGTTTATACTTATATTTAAATCTTTCTTTATAATGTTTTCTCTTAACAGTTAATTTATCATATATTCCATTTTAATGTTACTGTTTAAATCTATTCTTTCTAAACTTCAAACTGATTAGGAAAACTACTCACTCAATAACTAATGTTGTTTTTTTGTAGTTAGAAATTGTGAACTAACTTTTTGAGGTTTTGACGTTGATGGTGGAATTTGAAGTGATTCCAAAATGTTTGTAATTACAAGTGTTTACCATGTTTTTAATATCTATTGTTAGTATTATTTATTACTTAAAGATTTCATCTTTGCAGGTATATTTTTTTCTTCCAACTTCCCTTGCTGCCTGAATTTGTCATTCAAGGGCGAGATATGATCATTTTTGATGAAGCTTTTAAGAAAGATGGTCAACCAATATGGTCAAGTGAAGAAATTGAAGCTTACAAATATACCTTCTCTCGACCTGGTATGTTTCAGTAAATACTAAATTAGTAGCTAAGAATATAAAGACTGACATTGCACAAATTATGTAAGAATTAACAAAATAATAAGCCAAAATACTAAATCATTAGCTAAGAATATAAAGATTGACATCACACAAGTTATGTAAGAATTAACAAAATAATAAGCCAAAATACTAAATCATTATCTAAGAATATAAAGACTGACATCACACAAGTTACGTAAGAATGAACACAATAACATACCAAAATACTAAATTATTAGTTAAGAATATAAAGATTGACATCACACAAGTTACGTAATAATTAACACAATAACATACCAAAATACTGTGCAATTAGCTGAGAATATAAAGACTGACATCACACAAGTTATGTAGGAATTAACAAAATAATAAGCCAAAATACTAAATCATTAGCTAAGAATATAAAGATTGACATCACACAAGTTACATAAGAATTAACACAATAACAAACCAAAATACTAAATCATTAGCTAAGAATATAAAGACTGACATCACACAAGTTACGTAAGAATCAACAAAATAATAAGACAAAATACTAAATCATTAGCTAAGAATATAAAGATTGACATCACACAAGTTACGTAAGAATTAACACAATAACATACTAAAATACTAAATCATTAGTTGAGAATATAAAGACTGACATCACACAAGTTATGTAAGAATTAACACAATAACATACCAAATTACTAAATCATTAGTTAAGAATATAAAGATTGACATCACACAAGTAACGTAAGAATTAACACAATAACATACCAAAATACTAAACAATTAGTTGAGAATATAAAGACTGACATCACACAAGTTACGTAAGAATTAACACAATAACATACCAAAATACTAAATCATTAGCTAAGAATATAAAGATTGACATCACACAAGTAACGTAAGAATTAACACAATAACATACCAAAATACTAAACAATTAGTTGAGAATATAAAGACTGACATCACACAAGTTACGTAAGAATTAACACAATAACATACCAAAATACTAAATCATTAGCTAAGAATATAAAGATTGACATCACACAAGTAACGTAAGAATTAACACAATAACATGCCAAAATACTAAATCATTAGTTAAGAATATAAAGAATGACATCACACAAGTTACGTAAGAATTAACACAATAACATACCAAAATACTGAGCAATTAGCTGAAAATATAAAGACTGATATCACACAAGTTACGTAAGAATTAACACAATAACAAACCAAAATACTAAATCATTAGCTGAGAATATAAAGGCTGATATCACACAAATTATGTAAGAATTAACAAAATGGTAAGCCAAAATACTAAATCATTAGCTAAGAATATAAAGACTGACATCACACAAGTTACGTAAGAATTAACACAATTACATACCAAAACACTAAATCACTATCTATGAGTATAAAGACTGACATCACACAAATCTGGCTGAATATTTCAATTTAACAAACATGTATATTATTATTCCTCTTTTACTACAATGTAAAGTTTTATTATTATGTAAAAGAAAACTTATTTTGTTTTTATTCTGCTTTCAGTATTTTCTTAGTGTTATGATTTTTACATCAGGTGTTGAAGTTATGACAGTGATTGATTGATTGTTTTGCTTTTGGTATGACATTTTCTTCTCTCTGTGTAAAAAATAACATAATGTGGTTAAAAATATACACCTGAAAAAAAGTTAAGCACCCCCAAATATTTTTCAGGATTGCTTATTGAAAATAAGGTTTAATTTTCATGATGTTGAGCAATGTTCGTAATTTCAAACATAATTAAAAGGATGTGAGCGTTCAGGTGTGACATTT